CCCCCTCCTTGTTGTCATACCTTCTCTACTGTCTGCTTTACTGCCGTCTCCTGCCGCTGGTGGCAATCACTCGTTATCCCCATTTCCTTCCTCGCCTTCCGTTGTCGGTGTGTCTTGGACTCCCTGTGGCCCTTGCGTGCCTGTGTTGACCCTTCCAGTATACAATCTCTCCTTCGTTCGCCACTCGAGACCTGCGGCCTTTGTAGATCGCATTTCCCTCTCGACTCCTGCGTTATCATTTCTTATGCAGCGCGACTGTTAACGTCCGATTCCGGGGTCCGGATCGTGGTCCTTGCTGCCATCCCAGAAACTCTCTGCATATCGGCCCATTCAACAAACCCTTCCGAGGCAGGTTTCCTCAAGTCGATCAGTCCATCAGTCCCTTGGATTGGACAAAGGGTCACCGGCTCGAGCTGTTTACTTTGGCCTCCTCACGTCACTCGCTCCGTCGTTCGATTCGCCGGACTCGTGCCCACCCGGGATTTTCTTGCTTTTTGACTCTCGTTTCTTGTTTATACTACCTCGTTCCAACGAAGGTCTCCTGGGGAAACGTGTCTGTTTGGTCCAGTATAAACAACAGCTTTCGCTGTTCTCTCAACTCGCTCCCTGTCTTGAGCCGTGTCTGGAGGTATGTCGAGTAAACCGGTTACCCTTCCCCAGCATTCTTTCGCTTCCTTCCCTCCTCCCTAGATTTTTGGCATTCCCTAGCTGTTGTGCAAAACCCTTGCCAAAACACCCCCCTCCCAAACACTCCCAACCCCTCCCAAGCTTCCTCTGTAATCGCTGGCTCCAGCTCTGTCGACAACATCTAATGGAATCCCGTCGTGTTAGATCGTGATCTCACACTGGTCTTATCAGAGACCCGATACAACACTGATTAGATCACCTTTGGATCTCTTACCATTACTGTGAACATGCTCATTGTGTGCTCCCAAGTATAATCTCTGGTCTGTGGTCGTTGTGTCTGGACGATTAGTATACTCAACCGGACCCGAACATTACGTGTTCGAGGTCTCTCTTTGACGACCTTATTGATCCATCTGTGAAAACGCAACAGGCAAGATATGGAACCAATGAAGCCTCACATTGCGCCATTGAAGATCGACAAACAACATTCCAACTTTCATACGAGCAGTTTCTACTCCCCAGAACACAGCCGCCAGATGACTCCGCCGTTGACGCCATCCACCACCACCACTCAGGAACAGACCACCATGGAACGGGTCGAAACCCCGAGAGCCGTCTTTCACAACTACCTACGAGCCTTCTATCCCTTTCACCCGTCCGGCGACGTATCGCCTTCCACCGTCACCCTTCCCTTAGACCAAGGCGACATCATCTTGGTCCACTCCGTCCACACCAATGGCTGGGCCGATGGCACCCTGTTAGACTCCGGGGCCCGCGGCTGGCTACCCACCAACTACTGCGAAGCATACGACCAGCTCCAGATGCGTCCGCTGCTCAAGGCACTGACTGATTTCTGGGACATCATCCGGGGCGGATGTGGCTCCCCGCTGACCGATTTCCGCAATCAAGACCTGGTCCGGGGCTTGATTGCGGGGGTGCGGTTTCTCCTGGTAAGTCCCCTGGATAGGGTCCAACCGGTGATGGGACTGACACAAAGCCAGGAAAAATCCGAATGTCTTACCCGGGACTCGATGCTAGTCCGAACCCAGGATGCGTTGCGCAGGAACCGCAAAGCCCTCCTCGCCGATCTGTCGTCTTTGGTCCGTACCACGAAGAAATTCCAGGATATCGCCAACGGGAACCCGATGGAGGACGAGGTCGAGTATATGGTCGACGAGATGCTGCTCAAGGCGTTTCGCATCGTAACTCGAGGGGTTCGATTCCTGGACGTCTGGAACGAGGAAGTTGGCCTGAGCAGGACGATCGCCGAACTCGAACAGCAATCGCAAGACATGCCGCCGACGCCCGCCTCTGAGACATTTGGATCCGCCCCGTCGGAAGCGGACACCGAGCGGAACGAGTCGAGACTCCTGAATCGCAGCCGATTGGACACGAGTCGCGCCTCGACCCGAATGGATCCCACTTCCACGGAATCCCAACCGCTCCGTCCGGTTTCAGTCACCACCAAGCGGATCTCCGTCTCCCATCGCGTGTCTTACACCCCGCCCGCGGCCGCGGCCCGCAATCCGAACCTGGCGTCTGAAAAACTCAACGCCACGTATGACGCGTTCTTGGGCGTCCTGGGCTCGTTCATCGGTCTGCACCTGCAGTCGCGCTCTTCCACCGAGCTGGTCCTCACCACGGAACAGGCCGTGCGCTCCTGCCGCGGCCTGCTGACGGTGGTGGAGGCCGTCTGCGAGCATAATCCCCAGGGCAATAGCCTGTTGGAAGTGGCTCGTGACTCGATGTACGAACGCCTGTCCGAGCTCGTCTACGCCGCGCGGGACGCCTTCCGACCCGCCCATTCCCCGGATGACGAGCTGGTGTTTATGCCCGACGAGGGCAAGCGCCTAGTGGATGCCGCCACGGACTGCGTGCGGGCGGCCGGGAATTGCACGGCCAAGGCTCGCGTGGTGCTTGAGCAGAGCGGCGATTTCGAACTCGAGGCGCTCCCCCAGGATGTTCCCACCATCAGTGTTCCAGACGTCAGCAGCACGCCACAACCCCCGCGGCCCACCAGCAAGACCGGGGACCCGGGTCCGCCCCAGGAGGTGTCCCTGCGGCCGCCTCCCCCTCCCTTGCAGATCCCCAGTGGGAGCAGCAGCCACTACTCCCCTTCCACGCCCGGCATGGCCGACATGCACACCCCCTCTTCCTTCAATTCCCACGGAGGAATCCAAACCCCCTCTACTTCCGCCAGCGATCAGTCGTTTCCTCCCTCCTTCACGTCACTGGAATCTCACAGTGGCCGCCATCAACATCGCGACAGCCATGCGAAATCCGATGTCAGCGATTCCTTCGGCCGGGGAATCACCAGCAACGGCAGCAGCTTCGCCTACAGTAACCATCTTCGCGACTCTGAAATGAGCGGAGTATCGCAGACCTCCACCCGTGCCACCTCGCCCGACATTGGCAACCACTACCAAGTTCCCTCTCTCAAGGGCAGTATCAGTCACTCCACCCTCGCCGAGGAGAACGAGGAGACAGAGGTCAACATACTGGAGAAGACCTACGCCCATGAGTTGATCTTCAAGGATGGCCAGATCATGGGAGGGAGCCTACGCGCGTTGGTGGAAAGGCTAACCGCCCATGGCTCGACTCCGGACGCCGTGTTCGTCTCGACCTTTTATCTCACCTTCCGGCTTTTTGCAACGCCCATGGAGTTCGCCGAGGCGTTGGTGGATCGCTTCAACTACATCGGAGACACCCCGCGGGCCGCGGGTCCCGTTCGTCTTCGCGTGTACAACGTGCTAAAAGGGTGGCTCGAGAGCCACTGGCGCCATGACTGCGACAACACGGCTCTCGACTACGTGATGCACTTTGCCACCACGACCTTGATGGAGAATCTCCCGTCGGCCGGCCGGCGGATGGTCGAGCTGGCTGAGAAGGTCTCCATGGTGCACGGTCCGGTCGTGCCTCGACTGGTGTCCTCGATGGGCAAGACCAACACCGCCACCGCGCAATACATCCACCCCGACACGCCCCTCCCGGCGCCCATCCTCGGCAAGAAGGAGGCCAATCTCCTCAAGCAGTGGAAGAACGGCGAAGCCAACATCACCATCCTGGACTTCGATCCGATGGAACTGGCGCGCCAGTTCACGATCAAGGAGATGCGCATCTTCTGCGCCATCCTCCCCGAGGAACTCCTCGCGACGGAGTGGATGAAGAAGTCGGGCTCGCTGGCAGTCAACGTGCGGGCGATGTCGACCCTCTCCACGGACTTAGCCCACCTGGTCGCCGACTCGATCCTCCACCTCGAGGAGCCCAAGAAACGCGCCGTCATCATCAAGCACTGGGTCAAGATCGCCAACAAGTGTCTCGAGCTCAACAACTACGACTCCCTAATGGCCATCATCTGCTCCCTGAACTCCTCGATGATCGGGCGTCTGAAGCGCACCTGGGAGGTCGTCTCACAAAAGACCCAAGCAACCCTAAACTACCTCCGCGGGATCGTCGACGTCTCGCGCAACTACGCCGTCCTCCGCCAGCGCCTCCAAGGCCACGTCCCCCCATGCCTCCCCTTCGTAGGCACCTACCTCACAGACCTCACCTTCGTCGACCACGGCAACCAACCCGTCCGCAATCTCCCCACCGAGGACGGCGAAAAGGCCGTCATCAACTTCGACAAGCACATGAAGACCGCCAAAATCATCAGCGAGCTCCAGCGCTTCCAGATCCCCTACCGTCTCACCGAGGTCCCCGAGTTGCAGGCCTGGATGCAGAACGAGCTCGTTCGCGTCCGCTCCAACGGCGAAATGAGCCTCCAGACCTTCTACCGCCGCTCGCTTGTCCTGGAGCCGCGCGTGTCCCAGCCCCAGCGCCCTCCCCCGTCCCTGCAATCGGAGTCTAGCTCGTCTTCGATCCTCGAGAACGCGAAGGATAAATTCGACTTTTTGTCCTGGACGCATCCTTCGAAAGCCAAGTCGGTTGCGACAAATGGCTAGCTTCTTCTCCTCTTCTCCCTTCTTCCCGCTACCTTACTCTCATACGCTTACACTCCCACCCCGACACCCCTTAACGAATTACGACGAACTATACTCTACCTAATGCTTCCACGGTGTTATCCTCAGCATGTATCGTCTTTCTACTTCTTGGTTTTTTGGCCTTGCAATTTCAATCTAGTTTTTTTTTTTTTGTTTTTTTTTTCTTGTGAATATTCTCGGGCGGCACTTTTGATTTTCATTTCATCCCTCTTCCTCGCTTCCTCACCATTTATCCCATCGAACTCGAAAAGCGATAGACGAACGGACTGTGTCAGTATCGAATCTTATGTCATGCATCTCTTTGTCCCACTTTTGGAAGAGGAATGACGGGACCTAAATGGGACAAACGGGAGAAAAGAAAACTCACGGCATGATCTTTACGATACTTCCTCCTTCCTACATACTTACCTACTTACCTACTTTATCTGTATTGCTGGCTTTTTTTCCTCCCCTGTTTGATTGATTGGTTATACGAAGACCGATGCATCTGCATCTGTCTTGGGATTGTTTTTGTGGGATTTATATTATTTTGTATCATTGGTTTCATTGTTTATTCTTCTTTCTTGTTGGTTCTTTTTTCTGGCTTTTGGTTCGGTTGGTTTGAGCTGGATTGGAATGGAATGGATTGGATTGATTACATGGATGGATTCAATGGATGGATGGATGTATTTATTGTCCTCTGTATATATGGCTATGTGTACTACTGCTCTGTAGTAGACCGGTACCTGAAAATTCCGCTGTTCCTGTCTATCTCCTTCGAGAAATGTATCCAGTAGATAATGTACCCAAGCAAATAGATAAAGAGGACCTACTCCGTAGTCAGTCACCAGAATCTATGTGATTCCGCCACCGCCGAAACGCATCCACAAAATCTACCCCTACCCCTTCCCCAGGTGTATCTTCCCAGTAGTCTTCTTCTGCATCATTTATCCCAGTCATAACGACAGGAATCATCGACGGCCGACCATGCGCACACTGGAACGGAAATACGCACCGCGCCAGCCGGCGGACCAGACTCTGGCATTCTGACGTGTTCAAAATGTCGTTGAACATGATCGCCGTGCGGCAGGCGCGCGAGTTCACCAGCTCGATGATTCCCTGTGGACATCCGTCCAGTCGTCTCACCCATATGTTCACTTCGCCAGCGTCCGGAGGTCTGACGGTCGCTGTGACGGTTGTCGGTCTTCCACCTGTTTCTTCGCGGCGCCAGATCTCGCCGCGGATGAGGTCTGTTACCAAACTTGGTTCCACTCGACATCGTTCTGCGATGAGCCTCGGGAGAGTATTCACGGAGACAAACGCTCGTTTGTCTTCAGGCCCCTGCTCCACGGTGTACCCTACACCCCAAGAACTGAAAAATCCGGCATACCGCTTCAAAAGAGCCAATTCGGTGGACGGGGTCTCAAAAACAATGGGATCCAATGTGACAGTGTCTATCCGTCGGGAATCCCCCTCCAAAAACCGTTCGAAGAGAGCTTCCACGCGGCATCTCTCATCAGCCGCATGCTGGTCAATAAGGACCAGCACTGACCCTGCGACATCGAGGCCATGACCGCCTGGTGTAGTCCCCAATTTGGCCAAGATAAACTTTCGATCTACCTGGGCAACTGTCTCGGCCCTTTCCAGATTTTGTCTGCTTAGCTTGCCGCGGAACTTCGACAACCCGAACTTTTGTAGCTCACACATTTCACCGCTGAGATCACGACATTTGGCTTCCAAGCCCGAAACGTCTTCATGACCGGGACCTATATCAATCGCGCTGATTGGGCGTTCGGCACGACCAAAAGTTGGGTTATCCCAGTTCTCCAGAAGATTTTCGACCCACTTGTTTTTCGTCTCATTCAGAATGGCGGATCTTGGTCTGGTTATGCTGTCCGACGTTCGCACGGATCGAAACGAGTTCGTCGACTGGGGAGCGATCGACTGGCCGGTCCGGGGATTTAGTAGATGACTTCTTCCAGTCAAGGGATCAGTCCAAGTGACAGCTGTATCCGTGTCTGTCCCCTTATCATCAACCCCTGGGTCTGATTCACCCACGGTTTGCGGTGTCTGTGGGAAGTAACTCGCCCTTTCTGGAGACCTGCGCTTTGAACGCTGGTGAATGACCGGGTCCGTCGGAGATGGGGTGTAGTGCTTTAATCTTGGGGAGCACATTTCGGAAATATCTCTTGCACTTTTGATTCTCGACCAGTCTCCGAAGTGCTGACTAATTATGGGTGCGCGCCTCTTGAAGGGTGGGAGTTTCACCTGCCCACCCAGAGCTTCTTCAGTACTGGAGGTCGTGCCATATTTGCCACGAGAATGAGCGCTTGGTTTGTCTCCATTCTCGACTCCCATCTGAAGCTGTGTTCTGTTCCCAAATCCTTTCGTAGCACGCGGCCGTAGGTCATGCTGTTTTAAAAATTCATTGACCAGCGCACCGAGGATATCTATGATACGCTGGATGGACTTTTCTGATTCAGGGCCTTCCTGACCGTCGCCGTTGATTCTCTGTGGATCGGTCGTGTATATTCGAATGCAGAACACTGGCCACTTACTGACTGACTTGGCCGCGGATTTTGCATTTGGACCAACGCGACTTGAAAACTCCCTCGAGGTAGAACTCACACTCGAGCCCGTACCGAAATCGGATAAAGAAAAGAGGCGATTGACTTCGCCGTACAGGAGATTTGCATTGTTCCGTTGCTGGAGCGGATCAATCCCTATGGAAATGAATTGCACTCTTTTCGATGGGCTGGGAACGAGAGAGATGGCAGCATAGATAGCAAGATCAGGAACGCAGGCGGAGACAGTGTCCCAATGACTAGCATCTGGGGAATCAACCAATCCAGCCTGCGCAAGGATAGAACTAACTCGGAGGCGGTCCAAGCTACCATCAGCCTGTTCGTTGGTGGCGCGCGGCCGTATGGTAAGCTTTCGTTCTTTACCAGCATCAGATACTACTAGTCTGTTAAGGCGGTCATTGGCAACCATTAACGACACCAGAGATTGCTTCAACTCATCCCACTGCCGCTCGAGTTCGTCCGGCTTTTGGAGGGTCAATGCCCTATTCTTAACACGCACGGGCATGTTCCCAAAAAGATCGTTGACAGTGACACTGGTTCCATGCGCACCAAACCTAGGCTCGCGTTGAGCGGGAGCCGGGCACAACCGCGCCACCGGAGTCGCATGGTGAAAGACAACTGTATTTGTGGTTGAATGACGAACATGCCGTGACGTTACTGTCAACAACGACAATGAGGATAACGAAGCGAGAAATAAGCCCCGATGGCCGTAAATCATTTTGGACGCATCGAATCTCGAGGTATCTGCGTGATGTTGAGCAAGGGCTATATTTTGGGAGGCCAATCAAACATACGGTGCGCCTTCATTAATCCGCCATGCGCTTCAAACTCGGCGGGTAGAATGCCGTCTCCATCGTCATCTACCACGCAGCCTCCGCGCTGGAAATCGACCGTGACGAAAACCGTACGGGAATTTGCATCCAGGGCATTCTTGACCAGTTCCACGATCACGTCGCTTAAGTTGGTGACCGATGTAGAGGACTTGATCTTTGCCACTACTTCTGGCGGAAGTGGCTTGATACGATCTGTTGAAGGCATGACGGGCTCAACTACATTTGAGCAGTGTCGGGTGCCTTAGATCCCCTGGTGATAATCGAGAGAAATCCGCGTCAACGCCGGGCATGATGAGCACGGAGAGCATCTGATTCCATTCGTAGATGTGACCTGGGAGTATCCAATGGTTGATAGTGTCCAAAAAGCGATACACGGAAGGAGGAACAGGTAGAGAAAGAAGGAAACTGCAGCAACTGCAATGGAGATGGATGATGTCGTTGTCACGTGTCGATAAGAGCATGGGTGTGCCGATAAGACCAGATACATGCGAGCGACCCATACAGAGCATACGTTCTCCTGCACCGTATAGTCGAACGGACAAAAATAGATCTATAGTAACTATTAAAGTAGTCTCGTTGTTTCATTGTCAACTCTAGATTGGTACATATTCAGGCCATCGACATGGCCCAGACCCCCGCCCATCCAGCCACTGATAGCATGTCTCAACTAAATTACTGGATCTGCAGGTCCTTGATGCCCGATTATATCTCCATTTTGGTTGATGCGACGATGGTCGATACAGATAGAAAGCGATCGGAGAATTGGCCACTTGTATCCACGAGGATTCCGGTCATTCTCACAGGAGCTCATGGGAATTGGGAAGGGCATCAACCGGGCGTATGTCCATTTATTAGCCATGCTTCAGTGCACCATTGTGTCATATTCTGGTGTAAATGATCTCAAGATAGAAAGACCAAAAGCCTCAAGAGGCAGATGCTGGATTGATGCCCTCAGCGCGCACTGCAGCCTAGCTTGTTAAGATGGTTAGTTCATTTGCAACGCCATGGAAGAACTTGGACCCATGACGGTCCAAATTGTTTAGTAGTGACAGCAGCCATCGACGATCTTTCTGAAATACCATTCAATAAAGTAAAGTCCTCCTGTGTTGACCAAGAGTTGACTTGAGAGTCCAGGGGCTACGTTGGAAGTGAAGCAAGAGACCGCGATCGATCATTGGGTCGGGCTGCATCACGTGTGGCGTGGAATAACAACAGTGATGGAACCCAATGAACTATTTATATGTCCCTCTTCCAACACTCATCCCTCTGAACCTCATCTGTGAGGATCATTTCTTGGTTCTTTGTTTTATAATCCATTCTCCTAGATAAAGTATTCTCTGTCGCCTTACCTATTCCCTCCAAAGGAAGCATCGCCTTTGACCCTCCCTCCACTGAATCTTACCTGGGGTGTCTTATCTGATTGATTACTCCACCGCGCCCTCCCCTTTTGTGCATCAACATCGCATCGTCTCATCAACGAGAGGGTCCTCGGAAATCCACACCACCCACATTTGATCACTTCTTTCACATCCGACCGGCCAGATGGCCACCGCGGAATTATCTCCCCGGGCGCATGGTACGTGGTCACGATAATCCAGACCCCCGCCACCCCCGACTTACCTGACTAACTCCTCCATCCTCGGTAGATCGCAATGGACGTCGTCGCCCCTTCTCGAGTTGGATGAAGCGCCTCGCAAGTCTGAAAAGCTCTTCCGACTCGAGTACCATCCGCTGGTCCCACAAGCGCCATGCCGTTCCCAAGAATAAGACCTGCCTCAAAAACAACCCATACCCGCTGTCCGGCACGACCAACGTGGTGAACGACCAGAGCAGCGAGGTCCACTCCCCAGATAGCGCAAACGCGCAGCGATCCTGTTCACAGAGCGCGCCCTCGCTTTCATACTCCGGATATGAGAATCAGGCGCCTGCGACCAGCACCAAATCCACCGCTCCCACAATTTCAACCAACGGGGATACGGCAATCTCCGAGGCCGCATATTCCAAGGCAGGAACCATGGCGACGGCCGGTGGAGGGATCAGCTCCAATGGAGGAGGTGAAGGGAGCACTTTTTCCTCGCCCGCGCCGTCGGTACGGTCGCTGACGACGACCTTGACAACGGTGCAGTCCGCAGCGCCCTCCGGCCACTTGTACAACGTGCAGAATGCGCATGCTGGCACTCACCATGCCAATTTTCCGCAAGGCACACAACAAGTGCAGTTTTCACAACCGTTCCCTCCGTCGCCTGCGACCGCGGTGCCGCCCCACCTTGCCCCTCACAATCAGTCGATGACTTACAGCGCGGCCACCGCCAACAACATGCTCACCGACAATGCCTCGATCCTGACTTTGGCTTCCTCCTCGAAGCGGCGGAGGAGGAATTCGCTGGATACCAATGCGTCCGTGCGGGCGTTGGCGCCATCGTCGGTTTTCGGTGGGAGCCGCGAGAGTCTGCCATTGAGCGTGCTCAGCGGGAATGTTGGAGAGCCCTCCAATCCTTCTACCTTCAATGTTGCCGGTGTGCCCAATCGACCGAGTATGGTTGGGTTGGCTAGCACTGAGCGGATCAGCGTGTATTCGTCGTCTGGCACGTCGCCCTTGGTCGGTGAGCGCGGCAGCTTCCACGCGAATAAGCAGGGCGCGGGCGCAGGCGATGGAGCTAGCGTGGTTAGTGGGACTCAGTCCCACAGCCGCCACGATAGCAACTCGGCCAGTATCTCCGGGGTCGTTGGCGCGATCCCCGCCGGTCCAGCCATGCCCGCCGGGAGAATCAGCCGTCGTAGCTCTGGCTGGGGTGAAATCAACGGGGATGAGAGCGATGAGGCGAACACGACGGAAACGGACAGTACGAGGAGAGATTGACGCAGCTTATTATCACCTGTCTGTAAAGACAACACGATGTTACGCCGATATTCCATGATCGATGCATCTTTTCTTATTTTATCTTTTGAACCCTAGCCATTCTGATGGTTAGGGTATGTTTTTTGACGGCGTTGACGATGGCGTTTGCATGAATCTCCTTTTTTCCAACTGAAGATAACAGGATGGACATGATATCCCCTTGGTCTGGATGAATCTGATTGTTTGTGATTCGTCCTTATGTTTTAGTGTGACTAGTCATTGTGATCGTTGACCTATTGATATTGGCTTTTTTTTGCGAGACCTGGATCCCTATAAATGTTTATAATGTATTTTATTCTGTCTGTATTGTCCTCCATCATTAGAGGACCATCAGACAGCCTTCTATCATACCACATTTGGCCTATGGCGCCTAAGTATCCTTCGACTTCACCCATGTCATGTGATCATAAGAATAATGGCCTCAGACTCGTCTCAAACAGGTTAGCATCAGTATCAGTTAGTCATTATATAGAGGGGGGGAGAATCCATTGTCAAGGTGATAATGTCAGGTTGCAATACTTCAATGCGATTGTATCAAGTGTCAGATAAACTCAAATGAAGCATGTTTTAAGTTCTCACCTCAGCCGTAGGTAAGCAAGCAATGCAACCACATGGCGAGTTTCAGATATCTCCACCTCGCCAACTTACTTAAAGCAACTACCGATCTGATAGTCAATGGACCAGCTATCACTTATCAACGTTTTATGACTTCTCAAATGACCACAAGAGACATCGAAGGGTCTTCATTGCTCAGGCCTAGCAAGCAGGATGGACAAATCAATACGAGGTGATCGACAAGGATGACCCAAGCGGGGGCGGGTCTGATCGCGCGAAGGAACCAATATACCGTCACTTTTGAATACGCACGGCACTTCCCACGCCATTATTGATCTCTCTTCACCAGGATCTTCTTCAAGAAAAAAAGAAAGGAGGTGTTCTCAACCAATTTATATTTTGATACAGAGCGTGGAGGAGAAACAATACCATGAGCGGGAATGGACGGCCTGGTCAGCGTGCTTGCTACATACATCACGATCCGCGCTAACGGTATCGGGTGCGACTAATTGACAAAGTATTTTGATACTAGCTCTTGCCGCCTTGTTTCTTACAGCTGTGGGCGACAGAGGATGCCGTATGGCTCTTTGTTTACGGGTATTTGATATGGAACTGACTATTACAAGGCTTCTGGGCCGTCTCTGAGTACGGAATCAGTGTCGATGCCTATGGCCTCTATAGCCAAACAATAAGGCATTGCAACTTGGTAATTTGACCTGGTTGTACTCCGTCGTTCTTTGATACCTCAGTCATGCCATGCAGCCGTGTGGAATGTCGGATGGCCCCACTCGAGAAATGTTGAGTCCGCCAAGCCTCCATCACTATTCATTCATACTTGGGGCGAAAGGCGACACATCAACCAATATCAGCCTTGAACTGGGGAGCTATCAGAGTTTGGGGGATGGACCCAAACAGCATACGAACTGGCAATCCACTCACAAAGCAGTTCTCAGGAGCAATAACTGGTTCAAGGTGGATATCTGCTGATCACGTGTGAGCTAATGGTACGGCCTCGGTAGATGGTCGTAATTTAAGTATGAATTTTTTTTCCCCCCAATGTTGAGAAGGGAAAAACAGCCGCTAATGAAAGAAAACATTCCATAACATGATGTGAATTGATTACAAATGATTTCTCTTCATCCTATTCTTTCTAAATATCCCCCGACCAGGCTCAACTCAGCACGCAAGTCCTAACCAAAGAACATACTGTCAGTCATAGCCATGGGTGGCCAATCGAAGAAATCCGTGGCTGTCATTGGCTCTGGAATGGCTGGCCTGGTATCTGCGTACTTGCTACAACGAGACCGCGAACAACGATATACGGTTGAGGTTTTCGAGATGGTAAATAGCATATATCTTCATGAAGATATTAGTTTCACTAATTAACGGACATGCGACAGCAAGACCAATTATCGTTAGACTCTGCGTCTTACACTGTACCACCAGGGGACGATGACGATGATGATGACTCGCCACCGTGCCGCATTGATATACCAATGCGCGCCCTCGACGACGGATTCCACAATAATCTAAAGCGGATGTATGACTATCTAGACATCAAGTACAGCTCCCCAAAGTTCATATACCCACTATCGTCCATTTCCACGGACCGTGGAGCCAAAAAGGCGCCCTACTATATACACTCATCAAGCAACCACATGGTACCCCCGTTACGGCCGGAAGGCCGTGGCTACGTGACTTGGATACTGCAAATGGTATTCTTAGCCGTGTGTTACTTTTGGTTCACGGCATGTTGCTTTCTTGTCAGACCCAATCCCGCTACCAAGTCCAGCGAGGACGAGTCGTTCGGACAGTACCTGGAGCGGATCAGATTACCGCGGAAGTTCGTCAGGAGCTATTTATTACCGCTCATGTCGAGTATCACGACCTGTCCGCATGACGCGCTGCTTGAATTCCCCGCCATTGACTGCACGGAATATGCAAGGAGGACGTATCGTCAGCCCCACTTCACTGTCGACGGGGGTGTCCAAAACGTCCAGACACGGATTACAGAAGGGCAAACCATCCGACTCGGCGCCACTGTCACTGCGGTCGAAACTATCGGCGCGAAAGTTCGCGTCACTTGGACCGACTCAAGCACCAAAGATAGCCGCTCTAACGACTTTGACCATGTCATCATGGCAGTCACGCCCAACGTGATCAGCGCTATATACAAACCCCTGCAGGACACTCTGGACTCGATACCCGTTACGTCTGGAGAATCCGTCGTTCACCGCGACCTATCAACCATCCCGAAATGCGATCGCGCGCTCAAGAAGATAGCCAAGAAATCGCACCCCGAGTCCTCAACCAAGCAACCCCAGCTTCTGCATATCTGCTCGAACGATTCGTCGACGGAATCGACACACACATACTCTTCTTCTATCCTAGTAACGAATTTCCCAATCACCCCTATAGATCCGTCGAAAGTTATCCACCGCGCGCGGTTGGCGAGGGTCTTGCGGACTCCCGGAAGCCGGAAGATCGTTAATCGGATATTCGACATCGGTGCCTCCAAGAAGGACGATGAACGGGTTTGGCGCAACGGGGATGGAAATGTTTGGCTTGCGGGCGCCTGGTGCTGGGATGGCATGGTGCTACTAGAGGGGTGCGTCGTGTCTGCTATGAGGGTCGCTACGAGCTTAGGTGTGGAAGTGCCTTGGATGACGGAGGAATAGTTGTCGTTATGAATGCATGGTCATAGATTTGTATAATATGGAAGTAAGCCGGCTCTTCTGCAAGGCTGTTAATCGTTTGTGCATATGCATACGTACATACATACCTACTTTGTTGATACACGATATTCGAAGGTTAAACACACTTCTGTCAGCCATACCCAGCCCAATATCTACATGGTATGATCCCATCAAGAATTCCCCCGTCGCGCAACCACCACAAACCCTCTTACAACTCCACTCCTAGCCCACCAATTGAACACCTTCGCCGCGCCGCGAAACTTCCCCATCCCCATACTCATCCCATATATTTTCATAACCTCGTCCTTCTTCCATATATCGCGCGCAATACCGGCGAAAACATGCTCCGAGATGTCTCTCATGTCGACCATGTCACGCTCATACCCAGCCTCAACCAGCATGTCCTCGTATTCCTTCCTGGTCATGAAATTCGAGTAGGGGATCCCCGTCACGAGACACATTGACCGCAGGATCAGCCTGTCCCGGAGAGATGCGCGGTCGGACATGAGGAGGTCGAATGCCATGAATGATGCTCTCATGTCTTGACGGGCGAATTTTAGTAGTGATTTGCGGGAGGGTTTGAAGTGGTATAGCGTGTCGAGTGCTAAGAGCCATGTTTGATGCTCCTCGTCTTTCGCTGGGCTGGTTTGAGCAAATTCTGTCTTTTCTTCCCCTGGGGTGCTGCTGCTATTTTCCAAGACGGCTTGTGTAAGGTCAGATCCCCAGGATAGAGGGTCCGCCGCATCCGCGGCAAAGATCTTTACATCTGGTACTGGGCTGGGATGGTCATCGGCCAATGTCGTCTTGAGAAGTCTCTCTCGAGCAAAGTCTGCTTGAGTCTCCGCGATCGTGATTCCAATGTATGAGTCGAAAAGTGGATTGTCGTCTGATCAGTTAGAATTTATTCTTCTCACTTGATTGGAGTCCATCTCTCTCACCAGAATTACCCCCGAGTTCCCTGGCGGGTGTGCTTGCAGGCCTGGAGAGTTTTCTTGTCAAGTAGAGTGTCTGGTCACCGCATCCGATTCCAACGTCGACTAGCTTTACATGTCGTTGTCGTTGTTTTTCGTGCTGATCGTGCGTCGCACTGTCTGCAGCTGTTGATGCGGGAATAGCATCCACACTCTTGGCGGTAGCTGGCTCATCTTTATCCATAAGATTTGCTGTAATCAAGACCTGGTCCAGTAATGCTTCGCAGGCCTCGCGGAAGCAATCGGTATGCTATGGTATGTAACAGTTCAGCATTTGCCCCCCAACCGCACAGGTAACGAAAACTGCATCATAGAAAGGCATATAAATCGCATAGTTTCTGTGGACCTACCTCCCAATACCCCATATTCATCCACATACTCGGGGGAGGAACCTCCAAGTTCAGAATCGCATGATCCAGTCCATACAGTTTTTTCTCGTCTACTCGAGCAAAGAACCGAACGATACGCCCGATCAACTGTGTAATGAACTTCCAAAAGCCCATGACTGCTGTTCAACAAGAACTTTAACAGTATTTGGTAGCCTGGTTCATCTAGTCAGGTAAATGTCTTAATTATGCGGTTGAAGGCCAGGAGATTGATTCTGGAGTTCATGGTTGGGATTGGCAGATGCCCCCACATTGGTCCCACTAGGGCATTTCTCTTGCCGTCGGGCCCACCAGACGTCTGCATTTTAGTTTATGGCATTTGACCGGGGTTGATCGTTTAATGCGTTGTGTCAGTTAGTTTTCAGTCTAATGTAAGCCGTATGTACGAATGCATTTAGTAGATCGATAGTTACTTTGGATCAGCAGTCACTTGTCAAGTGACAAAAACTAGTAGAAGCCATCGCTTGGAATACGCCCAGTTGGGCAATCCAAGCAATCGTACTCTTGATATAGCGGCTACACCTATTCCGGCAGATCGTCTTTCCAATATGGATTTCAGTACCAAGCCATGCTCGTGCGAGCTGGTTATGCTGAGGATGGTATCGAGATCACAGAGATATCGGAGCATGCGTTTCGTGGCATAGGTGAAAACCTACGGAAAATATCGGGGGTGCAGAGCGTATAAAAACATAATATGCAAGTTTGGCGTTGCTGGGAAGGTGTTGCCGTGGTAGGCGCGGAGTGGCTTATGAAGGGGGTGGTGGTCATTATAAAGCCAGGGGACTCGCTGTAAGGTTTAAGGAGGCTGGGAACATCTTGTCAACAGGTTTCGATGCGGCCTGCTCATGAAGAATTCCCCGGCTGGACACCATCTATGAACACTACCCGGTGGATTGTCCTAAATACCCAGACAGACTTAGTGTGCCGACACGGCGTGTCTCCAAGATGCAAGGACTCTCTGACTCACGGGAAGCCATGCACATTTATTGTTTGGAATGCAGGATTACATGTATGATGTATGCATACTACAAGGCTCGTGCCTTGGATACTTTCATCCCTTGACAACCTTGGCAGTGGGACGCCCCAATTCGCGGTTTACATTGTCATTTCAATCTTTCGAATAAACAACACACTTCTACCGCGGCGATTATACCTCTAAGATGCATCGCGAGGAACAAGAATCCTACCTACTCGGTGATGGTACCTCGACTTCATCGGTAGCTAGCGATGATGAACACGAAAAGCCCGGTTCCAGAAAAACAAATGCCTTGTCTATCTATGTGACGTTTCTTGGTACTCGCCCTGAAAAGATCCTTATTATATTACCCAATATTGGGAACCTAGATGAGCTGACAGAATGACCATTCAGGCGTCTTCCTGGCGAGTATCGATGAAACTATTGCCGTATCCACGTATAGTGCGATTGCCTCCCAATTCCACTTGATGACGGAAAGCTCGTGGTTGTTAGTCGCATACAATTTTGGATATTGCATTTCGCTACCCGTGGTATGTCCGGCGGCGTTATATCCCTCATATGCGTCGTGTGTTTGTCCATCCTTGTTGACATCGAAGTGGACGATAGTACGGCCGTTTGAGTGACGCATATGGGTGCAAGAGAGTGATCATTAGCGCGTACGGCTTATTTGCGTTGGGATGCTTAGCATGGTATGACTTGGAGCCATTTTCTTCCCAGTCCTGGTCCAAGCATTGACTAATGCATCAAACAGCGGTTTCAGTACATCCCTGTTTCAGTTGATTATGGCAAGAGCCCTGTCTGGGCTCAGTGGAGCGGGGATGATCATTTTGACCGCCATCATTCTTAGCGGTACATTTCAAGAACTATTCATGGGCTCAATCGTTCTTTGGGCCTCTGCCAAACATTCCGGCGGCTGACAAGGTCAACCAGATATCGTGCCACCCGAGGAACTGGCATTGCTTAGAGCCTACGAAAATACAGTGTATACCATGGGACGCAGTCTGGGTGCCCCCTTAGGCGGGCTTCTGGTAGACGTTATTAACTGGAGGTGGCTCTTTCTCGGCCAGGTGCCGTTAGTCCTAATGTGTCTCCTTTTCGCGGTCAACCGATTGCCATCGTTCAAACCCAAATACCCAGAAAACCACCAACCACGTTCTGGCTTCTGGAGCTTCGACTTTGCGGGCCTCTTTAGCTTCGCGGCTGCAATACTGTCACTATTATTTCTCCTCCAGGATGCCGGTGCACCCGCGAAAAACTCCTCCGGATGGTCACACGTTCCGGCACTTGCATTTATAACATTCGGCGTGGGCTTCCTTCTTATCGAGGTTTTTTGGGCGTCGAACCCAATCATTCCTATGGACTTGATGTTGAAGTCCCTAGGGGCATATTGCCTGGTACAGGTTATGATTCTCATTGGGCGCTATTCGGTGAGTGCTGGAGGCTATAGGAGGTAAAGATAAGTTGAACGCTCACTGTGTGTAGCTCAACAGCAGCATCATCCCCTACTTTGTCCGAGTCGAAGATAGCTCGGACTTCTACGGTTCTATGATCTATCTTATATCGTCTCTAGGTATCTCCGTCGGAAGTATCATCGGCGGTAATGTCATCAAGCGGTAAATCGAACTCCGATTGAGCGAATGAGTCTCGTGCTGGATTTGTTGGATCCCTAGCTGACTATCCCCAGCACCCATCGCTACAAGACCATGACAGTCGCTACGGTGATCGGCTCCGTGATTTTCTATCTCGGTGTCTTCATTCTGTGGCGCGATGGTTGCCCCCTCTGGGAAACTTCCATCATGTTCCCCATTGGAGTTTCAATGGGTATCTTGTTCTCGTCTCAGTTCATCAGCATGACATGCAGCTCGCCAAAGTCGCGCCTACCGGTCTGCATCGGTACGTATTTTGTCTCGCAGCAGCTGGGGATTCTCTTGGGTCCGGCTATCGGTCTGGCACTCGAGCAGGCTTTGTTTGGGGCGAGTCTAGGAAGGGACTTGCCCAACAGTGGAGATAAAGCAGCGGTATGCTTTTTTCTTTCTTCCCATGCGCAAGACAAGACTCAATCAAACTCGGTCTTCCCAATTGCTGTATGGTCTAGCTAACAAGCATGATGATCAACAGCTCATCTTGAGTATCTTGGACGACGTCAAGTACGCTCGGTCTCTTCCCCCGGCACTTCAAGAGATAATTCGCTCTAGCTATCTATTTGGCTTTCAATTCGTTCCTCGTGAGTTTCTCTTACTGTGGTATGCCATGATGAGCTTGCGGTTTTGTCTAACTGCATTATAGTGCTCTCGGCGACATGCAGCATTGTTGTCCTGGTTGTTGTTTTGCTTTTGAGGGAAGGAAAGATTACTTAAATATCTGTTTTGATTGCATGTGTTCTTTCGGACCATTTATGGGCTCTTTTCTGGCGATTACGAGAACTGGGGGACCGCCTTCATATTGGTGAAAATACTGTAAGTTGTTAAGGATCCTGAGTGTCATACCATGTTTGAACAATATATCTTCAAATTCCTTGTTTGCATGTTATCTGTCGTGTCGATGAAAGCTCGAGGGCCACTGGCCATGGCCAGTGAGAACTATACAAAAGGACCACTACTATGTGTTCTTCATACCACACGGATTTGCCCATTTGAAGGTAGAGCAACAATAAAAAGAGTCAAAGCAGTATAATAAAAAACTAATTGATAGATGTCGAATAACAAGGTGAAAAAAAAGAAAAATATATTCCGATGCGGGGAATCGAACCCCGAGCTGCCGTGTGAGAGACGGCGATGTTAACCATTACACCACATCGGATGTTGATGGAAAATGCTCCTGGAATGCGTCACTATTACTCAAATCAATTGAGCATCCACCGGTATCACCCAAGTATGACTCATATGCCTAGGTAGGGTTTAGGGTAGGTTGTTCCGCCGGCATCGGATTCCAATTCCCCAACTTCCGTCTACCCCGTTCATCTAGAATAAACCATCCATCATACCGATCGATAAGGAAGATGGCGGGGAATTCGAACAGCCTGTTGCCTGATCCGACCAGTGATCTGCACTGGAATGATTTTAATGGAGGTAAATACTCTGATGTCGCGCGATCACCACTAAAACACTGACGTTGTTGCCCCTCCCCCGCTAGCCATCCATCAAATCTTCGCGCGCAATGCCAATGAGCACCCGGACAGGCTCTGCGTGCTTGAAACCAAGGGCATGCGATCGCCCGAGCGTCAATTCAACTACAAGCAGATCAATGAGAGTTCCAACCAACTAGCCCATTATCTTCTGAACAATGGGTGCGAGCGCGGGGATGTCGTTATGATCTACGCCTACCGAGGGTCCGTACACTCCGCAAGCCTACCTACCATCTGCGGAGAAGACGTACGCTGACAGGTGGTTTTTCATAGCGTTGATTTAGTGGTTGCCTACATGGGAGCTCTCAAGGCTGGCGCAACTGTTAGTGTGCTGGATCCGCAATATCCCCACGATCGTCAGAAGACCTTGTTGGAGGTCGCCAATCCCCGATTCATCGTCCACATCCAACGAGCCGCTGAGGAATCTGGTCCGATCGCCGAAACGGTCTCCCAATTCATCGCTTCGTCTTTGAGCATCAAGGCTCATGTCCCCGCGCTTAGGCTCCTCGACGATGGCCAGCTCACCGGTGGTCTTGATGCTGGTCAGGATCAGGACTGTCTTCAGCCCTATGAGAACCTCAAGCAGCAGCTGCCTGACGTTGCCATTGGTCCTGACTCAGTCCCCACTCTCAGCTTTACCAGTGGCTCCGAAGGCAAGCCCAAGGGTGTCCAGGGTCGGCATTTCTCCCTGACCTACTACACGCCTTGGATGCAGGAGAGATTTGGTCTCTCGAAGGATGACAAGTTCACAATGCTGTCTGGCATTGCCCACGACCCAATTCAACGCGACATCTTTACGCCCCTCTACCTCGGCGCTCAGATTGTTGTGCCGCACCGCGACAGCATCGGACACGAGCTTTTGGCTGAATGGATGAAGGAGTACCGCGTGACCGTCACCCATCTCACACCTGCGATGGGCCAGATCCTCGTCGGCGGCGCTACCGCTCAGTTCCCTTCGCTCCACCACGTATTCTTTGTTGGGGATCTTCTGACCAAGAAGGACTGCCGGAGACTGCAAGAATTAGCCCCTCGCGCTTCGATCGTCAACATGTACGGAACTACGGAGACCTCCCGAGCTGTGTCGTATTTCGCGATCCCTAGTAAATCCGATCAGCCCGAATACCTCGACGGCATGCCGGATATCATCCCTGTCGGCCAGGGCATGCTCGACGTCCAACTTCTGGTCGTTGATCGTAACGACAAATCCCGTATCTGCGATATTGGGGAACAAGGCGAGCTGTTCCTTCGAGCGGGAGGCCTTGCTGAGGGATATCTTGGCGATGACCCCGTCATTCAGAAACTCAATGAATCTAAATTCTTGACGAACTGGTTTGTTGATCCTGCAGTGTGGACTCGCCAATACGAGCGCATTGCCGCAGAGTCTCCGAAGCCTTGGATGGAGCTCTACAAGGGACCGCGGGATCGGATTTACCGAACCGGTGATCTCGGTCGGTTCCGTGCCGATGGTGCTGTGGAATGCACTGGTCGAGTTGACAACCAGGTCAAGATTCGCGGGTTCAGAATTGAACTGGGCGAGATTGACACTCATTTATCCCATCATCCTTTCATCCGTGAGAATGTCACCCTGGTCCGGAGAGATAAGGACGAGGAACCGACTCTGGTGAGCTATATTGTGCCAGAGGCGAAGCGATGGTTCCAGCAGCTCGCGGAAGACGGGATCCTGCCTTCTGAGCCGGAGTCATCCTCGGAGGATGAATCGCTGGTTGCTATGCTTAAGAAGTTCCGCTCGTTGTCGGAGGACTGCAAGAAGTTCCTGAAGACCAAGGTGCCTAACTACGCTGTACCGACGATGTTCATCCCTCTTGCTCGCATGCCTCTGAACCCGAACGGCAAGATCGACAAGCCTGCCCTTCCTTTCCCGAGCACCAGTGATCTCGCCCTTTTGAACAGAAGGGCGTCAAGGAGCTCTTCGATGCAAGCAAACCTCACTGAAACCCAACAGAAGGTGGCGGCGATCTGGGCAGGAGTCCTGCCAAACATTACCGCGCGGATGCTCACTCCCAAGTCCAACTTCTTCGAGGAGGGCGGACACTCGATCCTTGCGCAGCAAATGCTGTTCAAGGTTCGACGGGAGTGGAAAGACATCGATATCCCCATGAGCGCCATCTTCCAGTCGCAGACTTTGGAGGCATTCGCTACGGAAATCGAAAACGCCCAGGATCCTACTGGTCTCCGACTTGACCAGAACGTCCACGAGAGCTCGACCATGGTGGACGAAGCGTACTCGGCTGATGCCCGCGATCTTGCTGGAAAGCTCCCAGCTAGCATTCCCAAGTCGGTCAGCTCCGGAACTGCCGGGACGACTTTCCTCACCGGCGCCACGGGATTCCTCGGTTCCTACATCCTCCACACCCTCCTCGAAACCAACAAAGAAGCCCGTGTCATCGCTCACGTGCGGTGCAAGGATGCTGCATCCGGGCTCCAGCGTCTCAGGGGCATTGCCGAGACCTACGGGCTTTGGCGCGAGGATTGGAGCGGCCGGGTAGAGGTCGTTCGCGGCGACATCTCCAAGCCCCAGCTTGGCATGATCTCAGAGGACTGGGACCGCGTTACCAAAGAAGCGGATTATGTCATTCACAACGGCGCGCAAGTGAACTGGATGCTTCCGTACTCCAGCTTGCGCTCGGCCAACGTCCTGAGCACCATGGAGTGTGTGACTCTCTGCACCAGCGGCAAGCCCAAGCGCCTGGCATTCGTCAGCTCCACCTCGACTTTGGATACCGAGCACTATGTCAATCTCTCACAGCAGAGCGTCGCGTCCGGTGGATCGGGTGTCCAAGAGACAGACGACCTGCAGGGCAGTGCTAAGGGCCTGGGCACAGGGTACGGCCAATCGAAGTGGGCCAGCGAGTACATCGTCCGCGAGGCTGGCCGGCGTGGCCTGGACGGCGTTGTCGTTCGCCCCGGTTACATCACGGGAGACCCGCAGTCGGGCTTCTCGGTCACCGACGATTTCCTCTTGCGTCTGTGGAAGGGCTGCATCCAGGTCCAGGCCCGCCCGGACATCCCAGGCAACACAGTCAACCAGGTCCCCGTCACGCACGTCAGTCGCGTCGTGGTCGCCTCGGTGCTCTACCCGCCCGTCGAGCCCCTGGGAGTCGTGCAGGTCACTAGCCACCCGCGCCTGACCACCAACGAGTTTCTCGGGTCCCTCGAGACCTACGGCTACAACGTGCCGCAGGTCCCCTACCGCGAGTGGTGCTCTCTGCTGCAGGAATACGTCGCCGACGAGAGCAACACCGGACCCAAGGAGCTCGCACTCCTTCCGCTCTTCCACTTCGTCGTCGGCGATCTGCCGTCGAACTCTCTTGCCCCTGAACTCGATGACACCAATGCCGACGCCTCGTTACGTGCTTTTGGCGCCGCGCCGGAGAAACTGAGCGATCGTGCTGTTACCACGGAGATCATTGGCAAGTATCTTGCCTTCTTGATCGCCACTGGCTTCGTGCCTAGCCCTTCCACTCCGGGCGCCAAGGCTATCCCTGAAGTGGATACCCAAAGGTTGCAAGCTATGGGAAGCCTTGGTGGACGGTCATCCAAGTAGGTTCTATATGAAGAAAACGAGTGTATTGTACTTGGCAGATAGCGCGGTGTTGCGTACAACCTGGCCTGATTGGTAGATATAGTTTGCTTGAATAGAAAAGCGTTAGATTGTTTATGCTGGTATACAGGCCGGAGTCCACCGTTGCTCTAGGCGTGGGGGCCATGGCAGGTGTCTTGATCGTATTCAGCGGGTTTCTCAGGGTATTGATTCCTTGCCTAAGCCGTAGTAGCTTGGCCAATCTATTGACCAAAGACTAGTGTATTCTCGTACATTCCCCTAGGAAACTTGCTTTGAAATACTAATTGCTTTGAAACATTATTGACTAATCCGCGAATAAACCCCTGCAGCTACGCCGATAAGTCCAGAGGGATTCGTCCGAGTCGGAGACTTTCCAACCCGCATCATGAATCCACTAACTATATAAACAGCACCAGGAACTCCATTACCATTCTCATCACACACATATATACATATTCAGATAACTTTAAACTCGAACCACCGACTCAATTATGACAGGCAAGCTCGGCATCTTCCCGGCCGCCGGAGGCCTCGGAGGCAGCACCCTCACACACCTTCTCCAACGAGTCCCCGCCACCGAACTAGTGCTTATCACGCGCAAACCAGAGAACCTGAGCAAAGAACAAGCCGCCGGAGCGACCATCCGCAAGGGGGATTTCGACGATGTCCAGAGCCTCGAGCACGCATTCGACGGCATCTCGACGCTGAACTTGATCTCCTACCCGAGCTTCCAACACAGTCATCGATTCAAGGTCCACAAAGCCGCAATCGACGCGGCCCTCAAGAGCGGAGTGACGCACATACACTACTCGTCTCTGGCATTTGCCGGCGATGGCAATCCCGATACCAAGGCCCATGTGATGCTCGCGCACCTTGACACGGAACGATACCTGGCTCAGCTGCACGATCGCAACCCGCTGTTCACGTACTCTATCATTCGCCAAGGGCTGTATTCGGAGTCTTTCCCCATCTACACTGCCTTTTTCGATGTCGAGGCTCCTTCGTGCGAGATTCGCATCCCCCATGATGGCTCGGGCCCCGGCCTTGCTTGGGCGAAGCGGGATGAGCTGGGCGAGGCGACGGCGAACTTGATAGCACAGCACGCCCGCGACCCCGCTTCTTTCCCCTATGTGAATAAGAATGTCCTGCTCTCTGGTCCTAGGACTTGGTCTCTCGGCGAAACGGTCGATGCTTTAAGCCGTGTGCTCCGTCGACCTGTCAGCATCCACCAGGTACCTGTGGAAGAGTATATCAAGCAGCCACGGGTCCATGCTGGTCTCGGTGGCGAACACTTGGCGCCTCGCTGGGCAACTGCTTATGATGGGATCCGCGCTGGCGAGTGTGCGGTGGCTACGCCGACTCTGGCAAGGATACTTGGTCGCGAGCCGGAGTCATTTGAAACGACTATCGGGCATATACTTTCGAAATAATCGAGGAAAAAGGATGGGAACGACATGTTATAGACTTCTAGGATTCTATACGCTGACACTTGATGGAAGAGTCGGATCTCAGCTCTCTGGAGTGGCTGATATTACCGCAGGATACCATTCCTTCCCTCATTTGCTCTGACTGGGGCTGTCGTGGCTACTGGAGAGGGTTTGGGTGTGGTACATCTCTAGACTTGATACTTGTTTGATATACATTTATTGATACCTCATGTTGTATGCTAGCCTTACTGTATTACTCATGGCATCTAAGTCTTGTTCTCAAAACAGATATACATCAACATCCGATATGGTGTAATGGTTAACATCGCCGTCTCTCACACGGCAGCTCGGGGTTCGATTCCCCGTATCGGAATTACTTTTTGTTTTTTTTTTTTTGTCATCATCTCCTGTCCAACTTGAAGAATCCATCACAACTTTGTAAACAGAATAGAATACTGATGCAATACGATACGGCCCTGCAGGGATCAGAAGTCAATTAACTTTTTGGGGCCAACCGTCCTTATCGCGTGCTTATCACCACGTGACGGCTTGTTTTGATGTCGCGACGGAATCATCTGCGCTTCTTTCTCCATCCTTCTTTCTCCCCAAGAAACCTCCTTGCGACATGAAATACGCCCAAAGCTTCTGATAATCGCAGTAATTTGTGCAAATTATTGAACATGGCGCGTCCTCGAGCCTTCCGCGCCCCTACCACAGCCAGTATCCCAAGCAATCTCCGCATCCCCTCAACCACCCAATCCCTCGTCAAGGCTCTGGGGAAACTCTCGCGCCAATCGTTGTTAGACCTCGTATTTGAGTGGCTGGAGGATCGCAATGTGCAGTCATTTCGACCATACCTAGAGCAAGATGAGGCCGAGGCCATGGACGACGACGAGCTCAAACCGTACCCCGCCGAGCCCACCATCGACGACGTGCGCAACGCCTACCAAGAACTACAAGTCAGGAAAGGCGGGAAGCGCGAAGTGATCGACCGCATCTTAGAGGGCGACTGGCGACATGGTATCACCCTGCGCCAGCTGGCGATGGTCGACCTGCGTTACATGGATGACCACCCCTCCAGCCTCCGCTGGACCGCCTTGGAGCTCGCCCGCATCGACGCGACAGTCCGCGGCGATTCGTCCTCCTCCTTCCAGCCCGACATCTCCGCGTGCATCCCGCGCATCCACGCCTCCACCTTCCTGCACAACCTCCAGCAGCAGATTGCCCCGCTCGTCAAAGCCCATTTCTACCTCGCCCGCTCGCGCTCCCTCCCCCTCACCTTCCTCCGCATCTTCACCTCCAACTCGCCATACCAGAACCCGCGACAACCACCGGAGTCGCTGACGGATTCATCCCGCGTGATCTACGTCGCATTCCCGGACAGCTGCCCGTTTGTCTACACCTCCATCGCGTCGTCCCCGACGGGGCCCAAATCCAATAATGCGCCCACGGCCCAGGCCGTCCCGACCGACTCCCGAACCCTCCAGCGGATCGTGCGCGACGCCGTCCCGAAAGCGCTCTCGCTTCCCCAACAGAGGTACACCCTGAAAGCGACTTCCCTGACCGCCAAGAACCTCGAAGCCCTCCTGAAACTCCGCGGCCCGGGCCGATCCAACCAAGCAAACGGCACGTTCAGCATCTTCGCCGACGCAGTCGTCGAAGGCGGCCCGCTGGACCCCCGCCCATCAAACACAGTCACTCCCGAAGAACACATGCACCAGACATCAACGTCGTCACCATCATCATCAGACCCGGAGAAAGAGAACCGAGTCCGCGACGCGCAAGACGAATCTACCTCCACACAACCTACAACAAAGCAACGACGACAAAGCTCCAAGCTAGACGCCCCTATCTCCAAGAAGCGCAAAACCGCCATCAACACCCGCTTCGGTACGTCGGGCTCGCTGTCCACCGCGCCCTTGGACCGTCTCGACGTGCGATTGCTCGATCCGCCCAAGGGAGAAGACGATGATAGCGCCGGTGACGCGGACCTCGCTAACCCCGCTGTCTCGCTCACTTTCTCCGGATCAGACGTCATCAGCGGGATCAGGAAACTGGCTGAGTTGGGCATCGTTGATCCTGAGCGCATGCCTTCGTGGATGACGGGCGAGGAGGCTGTTAGTGTGGCTGTTGTTCGGGGCGGTAATCGCGTGCTGAAAGAAGATGGATGATGGGCTGGCGATATCTTTCTTTACGCATCTGTTCCTCAGCACACACACGCGCGCGCCCGCACTCGCACTCGCACCCGCACATATGTATATGCCGACCCCAGACCTTCCTCTATGAACTATAGAGGACGAGAGAGACTACCAAGACCAGCTCTAGCTGGTATCTCTTGCTGAGCTGGCTCCATCGGGCATTTGCATTTGCGCCCCGACGGTATATTCAAGACAGGTGGTGGATAATAGTGCGTGGAAATCAGCTCCGCTAGGACTGTTCCCGCCTTATCTATCTATTTTCTGAAGGAGATTAGTATAGAATAAACATTACATACCTTTGAGGATAGAGTGACGAGACTACCACTACAGGTCTGATCTGGCTCGCGCCAGGGGAGACAGTGGCCCGGGGCTGCTGGTCTTGTGGACCATATCATTTGATGGATGAATTCATCAATAGAACATAATCGATTGTCTTCTACTCTGATTTTATATTACGTTCTACTATAGTGTCGTGGTGTTTTCCTATTCTCAACCGATTTATTAAACGCTCCTGTAGAGCTACAGTCACCCCAGAAGCCAGCACCGGGTATTCTATAACTCTCTTCAACTCCTCGCAGCCATGATATGATACACTCACTTCCCCTAGTACCCCCCATCGCCGTAATCAGGATAATAACTCCTACGCGAACCAGAGGAGTACGATCCCCGGTAAGCCCAAGGCTGATGATAGGTTGAATAATCTAAAACCGCGACCAACGTTAGAATACAGCGCACTTCCAGCCACGTAAAAAAGGACAACGGGGTAATCACAAGGATGGTTTCGTACCGCGTTGGCCTGATAGGCCCATCTGTCGTGCTACGTTTACGTAGCCGTCTTCGCTAACGGTGCCGTTTTGTTTGAGGGTCTCTAGGTTCATGGTGCTGTGGTCTGTCTCCCATGGGGAGCGGCTGTATATCCCGTTAGTATGGGATCGATCCATTGTCTTGCGAGAAACACGGTGGGGAAAGGAAGGAGGCGGGCGCAACATACCAGTATACACAGCGGACTCCCACGCTGCGCTGCGTGAGGGCCCATTTTTCGAAACACGTCTTGTGCACGTTGTTCCCGCACGCTGCGCGACACCACACGATGTCTTCTTTGTCGGGCTCGAATTCCATGAAGCAGATAGGGCAGTCTCCTTCGACTGGCTTTCTGTTGCCGTTTGCGTCTGCGCCGGGCTTGGATTCGGCTTCTTTCTGCGCGAGGGGGGAGTGGTGGTAGATTTGACGGAGTTCCTGTTGCGTAAGGTGTGAGATGTGATGGTAGATAGAAGGGGTTAGTCAAGCACTCACTGATGAGAGGAACGCCGCTTGGTACTGCAGATGCGTTGTCGCTTTGAGGACGTTGACTAGGACTTGATGGGCCATTGAGATCAGAATGACGAGACCGAACAACGGGGGTAAGAATACGAAGAGAAATAGAACTACAATTGTCAATGGCATGGGGATATAGATTAACTGTACCGTAGCAGATATGTTTGCACAGGGTCCCTCTCTTGGTGGCATCTGGACAGTCGCACGACGGCACCTTCCCAATGGTCGTCTTGTACATGTTTCCCGTTGTGCCAACCATGTCAAAGGTCATCTGGGGGTATGGAAACTCTGTATATTCATCGGTCCAGACGACGTTGTATCCGACGACGAACATCCTTTGCGAGAAAAAACATCATGTTAGTCCGAGGGCTATAGTTCGAACGTATGGAGCTTTCTGGCTCACCTTTGAGTCGCCGCACGGGCTAGTCGGTCCCATAGAGACTGAGGTGGCCGAGCCCGGAATCTCCGCGCTCGACGTTCCTCGTTGGGGCTATCAGCCGCGCTGTTTGGTGTTCTCCTGCTCCTTGACTTTGTCTGTTGTTTCGCTGGTGTCTTCACGGGTGAGTCGCCCGTTAAGTCGACCACGTCGGCAGTCTCTGGTAAGCTCGCGGCATTGTTTTGTCCCCGTCGCCGATTACGCTTCACTGGTGTGGGAGTCGCTTCGGCTGTTTTGCTTGTATCCCGCTTTCTTTTCAACGCCGGGGCGCGATTTGGGGTTGTCGGGGTGGCGTCGTGAGCTCTGCCCATCTTCCGCGATATCTCGGTCGCGCTGATCTTCGAATATTGATTTTTCTGTTTCAGTTATCGGGTGGAGAGGGATGTAAAATATGATACTGGAAGGTGGCCAGGAAGTATGGAATCAAAACGCGGCGTCACAGGTGACGATGGCAGTCCGCTGTTAGAATAGATCAGAAACGTCTGCCGGTTCAATTTCCAATAAAGTCGTCGGTCGCAACCCCTTAGCAACCAATGACCAGAAGGCTATAGCAATTCAAGAGATACAACTCATGATGTTCAGAAGTAAATGCATCTGCTGCTTCGATTCTCGCGTCGATAATGTGGAGGTTTGCTGGGTTTGTTCGGTTTGTCTGGTTTGCCACCGGAGCCCAGCTGATAATCACTTCGATAAGGACCATCTGTGGATCACCGCCAACTCCGCCTCGTCTCCGGTCGGCCACGGAGAAGCACATTAACACACTCTTGAATTGAGATTCAGATTGAGCTTGTATCAACACTTATTTTTCCCCATGGCACGCGCTCGAGCGCACTCCAGTGCGGAGGGTCCCAAGGAACCTCACTCGGTGTCCCTGAAAGGTATGCCCCGTTAGACGCCCGCCCCGCAAGTGACAGGACTGATCAGATCCCAGTATTGCGGTAAGCGACGGCTTCTAGGGCCGGTGTGATATCGGCCATTTGCTTACTGTCGAAGTCTGTCGCGTCCGTCTCTATCCTTCCAACATCCTCTTCCTACGACGAATACCCGAATCCACAGTAAAGCATCGCTGAGCTATCCGTCGGACCAGACCGACGACGGGTTCATTCTCACCCCAAATGTAGGACGATGAACGCTCATGTACGCCGATACTTTACTAAACAATACACTCTACGTCAAGGTAACATTGCCGCCTGCGTTCGGATCGGCATACGTCGGGGAGACCTTCGCCTGCACCCTCAGCGCCAACAACGAGCTCGCCGAGGATGAGGCGTCGCGCATCGTCAAGTCGGTCCGCATCGTCGCAGAAATGCAAACCCCATCGCAGGTTGCCGCTCTGGATCTAGAACCCGCAGACGACATGGACACCAAGGACGGCTTACAACAGGGGCAGTCGTTACAGAAGATCGTCCGGTTTGATCTGAAGGAGGAAGGGAACCATATCCTGGCCGTCAGCGTCAGCTACACCGAGACGCTGATCGGATCGGATGCACAAGCCGCCAGCGGACGGGTCCGCACATTCCGGAAGCTCTACCAGTTTGTGGCGCAACCGTGCCTCAGTGTCCGAACGAAATCGTCCGAGCTGGCGCCTAGGGAAGTCGGGGACAAGTCGCTGGGGCCGTACGGCAAGGCGCGGCTTCTGCGGTTTGCTTTGGAAGCTCAGCTGGAGAACGTGGGGGATGGGCCTGTCGTCGTGCAGGTGAGTCCCGTCGACCCTTGTGGTATATCCCGTGGGGTAACGGCATGATCTGACCGATCGACCGAATTAAACAAATAGCAAACGAAAATGAACCCCAAGCCGCCCTTCCAGGCGATCTCGTTGAACTGGGAGCTCGAGAGGCCGGACGGGACCGAGTCGCAGCTCCCAACGCTGTACCCCCGCGACGTCCTGCAGGTCGCGTTCCTGGTGGAGCAGAAAGAGGGTCAACCGGAAGGGGTGGAAACGTTACAAAAGGACATGAAACGAGACGGCCGTGCCATCCTCGGCCAGCTGTCCATCGAATGGCGAGGAGCGATGGGCGATAAGGGGTTTTTGACGACCGGCAACCTACTCACTCGCCGACGGACATAATTCAGCAAACATGCAATGTCTTCTTTTTTTTCCAGTGCAAACGATTCCCCAATTCGACATCAAGTCTCCAATTCGTGACACCCCCTTGTTTTCCTCGAAGTAGTCAAAAGTACAGCCCCACGGGAAAAAAGGGGGGGGGGAAAGGGGGAAGGGGAAGGGGAAGAAGCATCCCGATACATTATCGGCAGGTCTGATTCACGGCATCCAGAGCCGGTGCATTAGGCTCTGCAATGCATGATGTTGTACGTCGTACGGGACCAGCCCACCAAGTACCGGTTTCACTAGTGCAGCCCGTCTCAGAGTAACCGCTGCATGTTCTGGCGGGCGCTACTCTGTTACACGATCATCATGGTGGCTTATCCTGAGGGTCCATCAGGCAGTTGACTTTACAAAAGTGCATAGTACAGAGGACATAACTAGTGGATGGGTTAACGGAGAACATGGCATGGCCGGACTGTGTCTGGACTGGGGGGACGATTGGTAAATGTCTCAGTCACTGCCTCGGTACTCTACAGTTAAGGTATATATATAGATTGTGGGACGTCACAGAAACCAGGGCTTAAAACGACACCTAAACTTTTTTATACCTCCTTTCTTTTCTTTACTGTAAACATAAACACCATTATTAAGCGGATCTACCACATCTAGCCACCCGATCAGCCAGCCAGCCATCAAGAAATCCAATCAACGTTATATATTAGGTAGGTATAAATATAGACTCAACAATCCATTGGTCATGTCGCACCCACAAGCCGATCTACCAGTAAGTCGGTTATTTAGTCAATTGTATACTCCCCAATTCCACCAACTTGGACCCAAAAGGAAGGAGAATTAATCAACCTAATTACTTAATGCAGGAAGAGCAAGACTCGATGCGAGGATCATCCTTGGCTCCCGGTCTGACCGCGGGGGGTGGGGACACGACGGTCTAGACCGAAGATATACATAAGTCAGGCTAATGTTATGATTTTACCGATTTCCATAAAAGAAAAAAAAAAGGGTTAGGCTTCCTTCCAACTTAGGATATAGAAAACGTGAAGCGAAGACCACGCCGCGAAACCGTCCATACCAAAAAGCCACAAAGAGAAAGCGCAAAAAAACTAAAAACTTGGTATTAACAAACATGATTTTCCATGATAGCTCTGTATGAAGGATCTCGCAGAAGCTGGGTTGCGGTCAGGCGCTTCGCCAGGTCGTAAGTGAATCCACAAGACATAATGGAAGCACATGGCTTCGCTTTGTTGGGTGGGCGTCGGGACGAAGTGCGATTCTTGACTCGAGAGTCCATGTGGGATGGGGAGTTTGGGTTTGGTCATACCAGGAATTACGGCCTTCGGGGTGAGTATACAGCACCTTCCACTCCTCGAGCAGAGGACCTAAAGACATCACCAGACCACCGATGATCCCACCTTCGAAAAACGTAGAAAAACGTAGAAAAATGCACGTTTTTAAGGTAAAGTTCCGAAGAGAGGATCATGTAACTCCACATGTCGCAGTCAGGACTGGGATCTTTCCGATGCAGGCGGTCCGGGGAGCAATATCGCAATGGTGGATAGCCACGAGGAGTCACGGGGTCGCCGACTTTCTTCGCCAGACCAAAGTCACCGAGATGGAAATTCTCTGTGCGCAAGCTTTGGGGGATCTTAACAGGCCCAACGAGCTCTCCTTGCTTTCAGAGAGCGTCCATCGGTATCGTTTGCTTCAATGGCCGACCCAGTGCATCGTATTTCGCACTCCTGGGAAGCACATACAATTTCTCTCATTCAAATATGTTGGATAAACACCAGCATGCGGGCAAATAGAGAAAAAGAATAGAAATTCTAGTGTCACTCACCACGGTCGAGAAGCCGCCGGATGCAAGCTTATGCTCTACCAGGTACCTCTCGTTGATCAGGTCACTGAGACGGATGGGATCGAAGACATCTGGGGTTTTTCTTTTTGTCATATTTGTCCCAGGGCCCGGCAAGCTCTTTCAAATCCATTTCCTCGTCTTCATTGTGCACAAAGTCGCCGAAGACTTCCTTGCCATCTTGGTTGCAGTATTGAGTCGCTGCTGTCATTTTGGTTACACCTGACATGTCACTCATGGATACTTCGATACTAGTTTCATTTTGGGGGCAACACGGAGGCGAGCGAGGGAGGTGACCAACATGTTCAAGGAGTAAGGGGCTCGTATTATTGCTGGTTTGGTACAAAGATTGAACATAAAGAAGGCTGCTCATGGGAAGTTGCAAGAAGGGGGATGGCGTCTAAGAACTGTTCCACGAGGTAGTCAGCCATTATTACTACTACCACTACCACTACCACTACCGCTACCATTAAACTGGGGTATGAATATCGAGTGGCCTAGACATTTTATAGTATTTCATTATATAAACTTGAAAATAAGCAATAAGAAATAAGAAATATATAAAGTATATATTTAAATAAGAATAAGAAGTATAAATTAATCACCCCTCAAGTCTAGAGTACCCATACACGACTCATGCAATATACTAACAACCATCAACCACGTCGATCTCTCCCCAAGTACTACATCAGACACAGCAGCAGCAGCAGTAAAGAGATACCGGTGTATGCTTTCAGATACACCTGTGGTAACCCCGTGTCTCTTCCATGTCAGAAAATGCACGTTGGACTGGAATACCAAGAAAAAGTCAACTGCCTAGATATTCTATCATGTGTTAGTCGCTTTTAGTCAATATTTGCCACCCAGACGGTCGAGCGACCGCTTGACTGTGATATTGTCCACCGCTTGTTTGATAATGCAGGGCTGGTCAAGCAGTGCGACCTCCCAGGCAGTACTCCGTCGTCGGGAAGGGAGCCGACTGCAGAGGGCTGCGGACGTAAGGTAAGGAACGAAGTTAGGATACTGGTATGTGGATGTGGATGTGGATGTGGCATAACCTCCGACTCCAACGTAAAAGCTGAGTGGCAGGGCTCTCCGAGCCGCAGACGCCCAACTCGCTGGTCGGCCCCTGACAGTAGTCCTCGCTTCCCTGCAGTAGTGGTTGGAATTGGAATCTATGGTTGGATCAAATTGAGGGTAAGAGTGATTCTTGAATTCTGGGTCGGGTTAGAGATAAAGATGGATTAATCGTCGACCGTTGAAAGGTGTTCAATGGAAACGTGGAGACTGGAGAGGGAGATGCTCATCCCAATTTAGTGGTGACCATCAACGTGGAGGACCCGGTGGATGGAAATAACAGATTGGTTGAAGACGGATGGACTGAAAACGGGGCCACTTTTTTGGTTTCCCTTTTCTGTCGCTCTTATTTATTTTATTTTATATTTTTTTCTGGCGTGATCCACTTGATCGGCTTAACCTCGTAAGACGGTAAGAGCCAGAAGGATGATGAAAGACGGTATGGCTCGATCCCTGGATAGAGAAAAGAAGAGAATCTCGGATTGATACGATTGATTTTCCATACTGGATTGAAAGTGGACTCAACCAGACCATCTCCCTTTAAATCCTTGGATCCCTTGTCTCTTATCTGCATCTTGATCAATCAACCTTTTTCACTTTTTGAACATCACCTCGGCAGGGACCGACTTTTCCCTATTGGGACACTGGGAGAGACAACAATCGGCCGAGGGTTTCCCCTTTTCGGTTACTGCAGCCTTGCATTCCCCAGATGGCTTTGCTCGTTGGGCCCATCGAGCCCGTCGTTGCTCTGGTTTAGCACGCTGGTTCAGCACGCGCTGATCCAATCATCATGCCACAGGGCGGATTGTGTATCTCCGACCTTGACTAGGGATGTCTTGGTATCTAGTACCGATTCTACTCACCGCGGTCGGCCTCTGATTCAGGATCTGGATTTAGGATAGGATGACAGCCACAGGAATGGCCCCAGTCATCAATGCAAGAGATTTCGCCGGTGGAACAAGCAGCGTCATCGAAATCGGTGACAGTGGCAAGACAATCCCGCGATCGCCCGCAGGATCAGTCTTTGGTACTTCTGAGACCTGTACTTTTTGTTTTATTTGACTTGTTTCCTCGGTGGGTGGTAAGTTGGGGGTTGGATTCTCCCTCCCCTCCGTTTCGGCTGAAAACACATAAGATCAGCCGTGAGATATTGACGTCGTCATTCTCTCCATGGGGTCCACTTTAGAGGGATTTAAACAATTGGGAAATCAATTCTCAGAGTGATGAATACCTTAAACGGTGGTTCAATGGTTCTCTCCCACACATTTAGTAGAGACGGGAGATATTGTGCTTTCCGGGCTCCACTCGACCCAACCATTGGTATTCCCCGTGGACAGGGACCGGGTACAGAGGACAGAGGACGGAGAACGGAGGCAATGGGATGGATACCATGATGGATGGTTCGAATCTGTTGGTCGGGATTAGGCTTGACTATCTAGGCGCCTCTAGAAGATTTGAGGCTGGCTGTGGCCACAGGCAATGGTGGTTGGATGGTGGATGGAGATGGCGTCCAAGTATGTCAAGTTCTTCCTTGCACTCGCAGTGGTTCCAACCTCCTGCACGTTTTTTTTTTTTT